TAAAATAGTATAACTAAGATGTTTTCTAGATTAAGAGAAAAATTAATTTATAAAATAAATATTCCTATCGCTGCCCATAAAATATTGTTTGAAAGTAACATCTTATGTGGAAAAGTACATACATGAGAATGGATCTATTTTCTTCAATATAAATTACAAATTGTGCATACTACGTAAAAGACAATCTACTATCACTAGTAAAATAATCCATGGTTAACGGTCTTTGTGTGGGGATGGGAGGCGTGACTAGAGATAAAGTTATCAAATCACGGCAGAGATTCGTCACAAAATATAAACGAATTTTCAAATAGCACTTCGTTAGGTTCAACTCTTGAGCGTACGCGCTTTCTCTGTGATTTGTCAAAAGTACAATGGATACGTATGAAAGTGTATTACTTGTGAAGTCTGAAGTATTTGTGTTTAAAATACCACCAAGGTCAACGAATAGGGGTTATCGGTACGATTGATTCTTTTTGACAGTATTTCTTCCAAAAACATTTAGTTTCATAAAAAACTAACGCATGCAAAGATATGTTTAAGCGTGATATTTCTTTCATTACTGTTTAAGGAATACAATATCTTGTATGGTTTAATAGTCTTAGCCTCAATGTTTAATACGTCAGCAACAGTTATACCGGAAATTGTGAAGTATTATATTACTGCTACAGCTGGGGCACAATATTGTAAAATTTGATAATGTTTAAAATTTATAAAAATTTGATTATAAGTTTTAAAGTATCGTTATATTAAAGTTTTCTTTATAAATATTAAAATATGCAACATATATATTAGTTCCTATTTTAGAGCAGCTGATTGGAATCTGCAAGAGCCTACATGGACTGGACGTATGCGTCTTGTTTCTCAAGGAAACTCAATTGCTATCAAATTAGAAGATAAAGTTACTGGAGAATTATTTGCAAAATGTCCAATTGAACAATATCCAGGAATTGCAGTCGAACCAGTTACAGATTCTTCTCGTTATTTTGTTTTAAGAATTCAAGATGATTATGGACGATCAGCTTTCATTGGTGTTGGATTTCTAGATAGATCTGATAGTTTTGATTTAAATGTTGCTCTTCAAGACCATTTTAAATGGCTAAGGAATCAGGAACAAATAGAAAAAGAAAAGGATGAACCAAAGCAGGAATTAGATCTCAGATTTAAAGAAGGAGAAACAATAAAAATAAACATGAAAATTACTGTAAGTTTATGTTATTATCTTAATGTGTATTTTCATACAAATTTAGATATTGAATTAAATGATAAGTTATAAATTCTTGTTTATGGTATCTAGAAAAAAGATGGTACTGAAGTTGCTTCTAAAGCAAAGCAGCGTGCCAATACAAACATGGGCTTACCACCCCCACCAGGTGGTGTAAAAATTGCACCACCACCTGCAAAAACTGCATCTTCATCTCCTGCACATAAACCTGTTCAGAATCAAAATCAGACAAGTTCCGAATGGGGAGAGTTTGCTAGTGCAGCAGAACAACCTCAAACTCAACAACCATCAACAGTCGGAAATGCCAGTTGGGTTCAGTTTTAACTTACAAATTGTATTAAAATATAATATAGCAGTGCTGTAGAATCATAGACTATACATACATATTTGAATTTGTATGTTGACTGTGTGCACATGTGTCTTAACATGCGTGCACATATGCATATAGATATCTTTTAAGGGTAATTATGGGCAAAGATGTTTCTATGTACATAGTGAATCCAACTACAATATTTTTTAGTATAGTATCTATATATTTTTTAAATTTCCCTTTTACTTCAATCAATATGACTCATGTCAAATAACTTTTGCTTGAAATTAAAAAAATTTGTTTTAAGTAAAAACGTATGCATCAAAATTATTATTACTTCACAAAGTATTAAATTAAACCAAAAAGCTATGACATTTATTTTCACAGTTATATTTTTTTTAT